ACAAAATTTTAGTATGATAAAAAATTATTATAAATTAAAGAGCAATTTGAACCATATTAAAATGGTTATTTAAAAGGATAAAAAAAAAAAATTATAATAATAATAAATTGTTTCGTAGGGTAAAAAATTTATTTGTTTAAAGTGCAAAATGTCTTAAAAACATACATACCTATATATAAATTTAAGATATATATTGGGTTGTTATTAAGAGATATATTAATTTACTGTGTGAATGTTTTCTGCAATATTTATTTTGAGAAAAAATTTTGGTGCTTTAAAAATATGTTTTAAAAATATGTTAAATTTATATGAATCTTACAACAAATCTGTCAGTAATAATTCAAAAATATTTGTACATACAATTTTATTTAAACACAATAAATTTTACATACAAATTAAATTTTTTAGTAAATCAATGTTTATTTTTATGCACAGGCTTGTTGCTATAAATAAATCAAATTGAAATTAAAATATTTTTAAGTATTACAAACAAAATGTTGAGAAATTGAATTACAAGTAAAAAAGTTGAAGTGCTTAAAGTGTTTGTTCAAGAATGGCTGGCAATAATTTATCTGTCTAATATTCAGATATATTGAGCAATCTACAGTTTCCATCAAATGAATATGTTGCAGTGAATGCCAAAATATGACTTAACATTCAGATGCAGTCGAATGCAGTGCTATCTTGATTAGTCATGCAGGTGATAAGTAAATATTTGTTGGCTTGTTTGGGCGTCTAATTAAACGAGCTGAACTCTGGCAGTTGCAAAGGTAACTAGAAATCAAGTTGTTAATAGAGCTCCGAATAGGTGAAAGTCTCAACGTGAGCTGCTTAAGCATATTGATAATTCTAATTAGAGCCACGCGCAAAATAAAACAAAACAAAAATAAAAATAAAAAAATGATAATAATAAAAAATCGCCAAAATATAAACACAGACGAAAGGCGGGCTTATTAATAAATAAGTGATTTGTTTATGATTGTATCATAAATCAAAACAAAGCATAGTTCATTTCGCATTCAAAGCGAGTTCTCAAACTATTCAAATAAGAATCAAATAGTGTTTGAAAGGAATAGATGATAGAATGTGAATATCTATATTATACATACACACATACTCACACACATACACACACATTTGAGAACATTTCAAAATTGTGTGTTTTCAAACTTAATTCAAATAGAAATACTATAAGAACGATCTGTACATGCGCTTATTGGCATTCATTAAAAGTGCCCAAACCAGGCAGCAAAATTAAAGAGCATTGTCATAGGAATTAGCAAATCGATTGTTTCACAGTTATTCATTAGGTGTCAATACAGCCCCCTCTCTGGCCCGAACAAGTTTCGCGCGTTGCTCGGTATAAACTGCTCCCAAATGTGGCCGGTCAAATACACACATACACATACATACACAGCAACATACCTATATAGCGACATGTGTTTAAGAAAAACATCGGCACTGAAAGAAGCTAAATAAATAATAATAAAAATAAATAAATAAATAATTGCAATAAAAGTGCCTGCTCATGGTCAAACAGGATTGTTAGCGTTTATGTATTTTTATTCAGATTTATTGTTTGTTGTTGTTTTGCGTGTCTGCTTATTTCCAAATTGATTTTTTTTTTTTTTTTTTTTTGTGCAAAAAATTATTTATGCAAAAAAGCGGTTCACTGTTGCTGATAATAAATAAATAGAAGCCACAACCCACTGGCATTCCATATATTTTGCTAAAAACAAAATCGAAAGAAAAAATTCGCATCAAGCTAAACACGCGTTGCTGATGCGTTGATTTCGACTTTGGCAGGAGATCGCTGCTTCTTCTTCTTCATTTTTGGCCATTTGTAAACCCGCATTAGAGTGCCAAAACTAGTTTAAAGCATCTGCTTATAATTCGCCGTATTCCATTTAGCTCATCCTACGTTTTGTATGAATCGAATCCGACAACATCTTTGCATAACTCTCCATGCCAACATGCGTTTCAAAGCCACGAATGCGTTTAACAAAAGCTTTTTTTTTTATCGTTCGAGAATTGTAGAGCCTAAATTAGTTTTTATCTATGAAGTAGTCTGGGTAGCTAAATTTATGCTTAATAAAATACGAAATGAATAGAACTAAATTGGTTCCTTAAGGCTTGAAGAATACTAAGAAAAATTAAATAAACTAAATCAGTTGAAAAATTAAAAGCGTTTATACATTTAAATGAATAAATGATTTTTATATTTAAAAGTCTTACTCAATTAATTTTTAATAATGAAAAATTATAATTATCTCTATGAACTCCACGAAATATAGAAATATATACAAACTAAAAATATTTATTTGCATAATAATGTGCACATTAAAAATATTTAAAAGTGCAAAAAAAATATAAAAAATGTTGAATGAAAATTTAACAGACATTTACAAAAATATTTTCTAAATATATACAAAATATTTTCAAAATACACACAATATATAATATTAAAAAAAAAAAAAAATTAAAATTAAATAATTGTATATAGTTTTCACTTGAAAACTTGATTCGGTTTCAAGTTAGTTTTCCATTTGAGTCACTTTTGCGCTGAAAATGAAATGAAGACATTTATGAAATATGCTGCTCATGTTCCCAATCATCATCAATATTTATAAATATTTTGTAATGAAATTCTGTTGAATTGTCAGCGAGTTGTTGCTATTATTGTTGTTGTTGCTATTATGTCTGATGCCTTTCGGCTGCCATGCCATAGACATGATGGACTTAAATAGTTTTGAATGCAGCTCTTGCAACAGAGGGCAGCCGAAGTAGGCGTCAGCTCTTACTTCTCTTTTGGTTAATGCATTTTGCACAAAAAAAAAAAAAGATTCAATGAGAAAAAAACATGAAAAAAAGCAAATAAAACTCATTAAAAATGTTTGCTTGCAGTTATGTTGTTGGCAACATGTTGCTGCAACAGGCGAAATGTTGCAATCGGCTTACAGTACGTGCAGCATGTGTAATTGCTTGGCCCGGCTTTTGGGTGCCCTCAGTCCGGCTGCGATCATCGCGTAATCAATTTTCGCGTCAGCTTTGTGTACACTTGTCCACATTCCAAATGGTCTAATAGAAGCCGTTCGCATATTTTTCGTATTAATAACACGATCTATTCCCGAGTGATTCCCCCTTCTCTGTTGCCGGCTCAAAACACTCGAAACTTGCCAATTCATCGATAGTAAGCAAAAGTCGCTTAGCACTGTGATTGTGATTCATGATGTTCTGTGTGTGTAAAGCAGCTAAATGGAATCTTTTGTTGGGTGTCATAAACAGATAATTGGGTTATTTTAACAAGAAATAGAAATGCAAATGCAAATGCAAAGCAAATGTCAGCTTAGGCACTTTCTATGGGATATTCCCAATTGACTAGTTTATTGGCTGATCTCTGTCTGCGATATGATAACATAGATAACATGGAGTTAAGGTTTGTCCCGACTGAAACTTCAATTTGGTCAGTCACCTCTTCAAGCAAGTGACGTCATGTTGCCTCAGATCAGATCAGGTTTCCGAATGCTGACAACGCAATTGTTCTCCATAAGACACAACTATAAATCAATGCCGATATTCAGCTAACGATTAGTTTAACAAGAATTAACCTGCCCTACAGGCTATGTGATCGATCGACTGATACGACGCAATCTTAATTGAAAATCACATCAGAAGGTGAATCGAAATGAAAAAATAAAAAGTAAACAACAAACATTTCATAGAGTTTTCTTACAGTGTGTTGCCTACCACGCCCCCTATTTCTGTTCCCCAATAAAAATGATGTAACATAGGCAGCTGCTGAAGAATTAGTTTGCTTATTTCACCTCTTTTCTGACTCGGTTTCGTTTCTCTGCGTTGACAGGCGAAATTTATTGATAAGCAAACAAAAGACTTAAGACACGAACGTGGTAGCACTTCGAAAATGTGTTTGTTTTTCGTTTGTTTTCGCGAGCACACGTTGTTGCCCGGCTGTTGTTGTTGTTGTTACTGTTGAACGCGTGCGTTGCGTGCTCCAACTGCAAATCAATAGCTCATTCCCACGAATTCTTTGCCAAATCTTTGTGGGTGGCAAGCGCACCTGCCGAACGTGCCGCACATCCAAAAAATTATAAATAAATTTTGTTTTGAGTAACAAACAAAGTAATCAAACAAACAGCGTATCAACAACATAATTTGAATATGCAGTGCTAAGGTTTTTTTTTGTTTTTTCTTTGCATCTAATTCGGGTTTTTTATTTTTGGCAACTTTCAATTTGAGCACAGCAGACGCAAAGCAAATCAAGATTTCGTTATTTCAATATAGCCAAGCGTTCTTTGTTCATAACTTTGTCGTTTGCACCTAACCACAAAGCTCATGTACTGCCAGTGCATACAAAACGATTGATTAAACCCCAATTGAAAATGATGAAGCGTTTGAAGTGGCGCCAAGACAACAAGTCGAACCAGCAGATACACTCACTTTTCTGCTGCATAAATGTGACATTTATTTCAGTGAAATTTTTGATTGAATTAACCGTGATTTAGCTTGTCTAAATATATTTTTGGAATATTTAAGTTTTCAATTAAGAATCCCTAAAGTTAATTTATATATTATTTTGCTTTTGTTTTATTATTAAATTTTAGTATTTATTTTAATTTA